TCCCTCAATAAACTTTCCTTTTTCTCTAGAGATGACCCGGGCCTCCTGAGTCTTACTCCGAACCTTGACAGTCACAAAGTGAGGTCTGAAAACTGGTTTTTCTGGCCCATTATATTATGTGTGGGGAAAGTGGGCAAACACCGCGAAGCTTTCGTTAAATACGGGATTATAAACGTGGAACAAGGTCCCCGGGTCGACAGCAGCGAGGTGCCACTTCCAGGGTGGACCAGGTAGGTATCCTGGGAAGTCAGCATTGGATTAGGCGTCTTCGGCTGCTCAGCGTCAAGACCCAGAGGCTCTTACCTCTCTCTCGGAGGGCACACGAGTTCGTCCAGGAAGTCACACTGCGAAGCCTCCGGCGAGGGACTCCGGGACAACGAAGACCCATCACGGTCGCTGGGCCACAGTCCCCGCCAGCCCAGCGTTCTGGTTTCCATAGCTACGGTCTCTTTTCGGAAAAAATCGGCCGTGCAGTGTCTCGGGAGAAATCCCGGCCTCGGCTCCGCTCCCAGGAACAGCCCCTCCCGGGCTCACCGGCCCACTGCCCCACAGTCATGCCAAGGCCAACGCAGGTCTCCAGCAGCAGCAAGATCCTCTCAGCCCACTGCAGGCCGCTCTAGCGGCCTAGCTCGTCTCCATGGCAACTTACGGAGTCGCACCACGGCGGCCGCCGAGGGACAATCCTAGTGCGTCCGCAGCTTCGAGCTCACGCTCCGCCCTCGGCCCCGCCCTTCGTGCGTCTCCCGGCAACGCGGCGCCTCAGCTCACTGCCTCACCCGCGGGACTCACTCCGCGTCCGCGCGCGTCCTCAGGTCATGGTTCCCAGCCTGGCTCCCGTTTCGGAGTCGTTCTCAAGCGTGGAATACGGGTCCACACAGCCGACGAGGCCCTCGGTCACATGGGACCTGCGCTCCTCCACGGATTATGGGCCCGCAGTCCAGGCGAGCACCGGTTCCCGCGCCTCCCGGGGCTCATTGTTCTTCCGGCGCGATAGGGGTCTCGGGGTCCAGCCGCAGATCTGCTTCCTGCGGCCGCGGAGCACGCAGTCGCCGGTGTTCTTCAGGTTCGGCCCGGGCCCCCCGAGCGTTCGTCAGTCCCTGGGGTCCCAGGGGGAGCCCGAACTCTCAGCTATGCGCCTCTAGGCCCCGGTCTCTTTCCCACAGCCCTGGGTTCTTCGGAACCCGGCCTTTCTTAGACCCCGAGGCAATCCTCTATGGATTTCTCAGAGAGCGAGGCCCCAGCTTCTTCCCACTCCAGCTCTTCAGCCCCCAAGAGGCCTCGGCCAGGACTCCCAGGAGATGCTGGATTCCCGTCAGCTACCCGCATTTCCTCTGAATTGGCCCCCGCCTTCCAGTCCTATAAAGTTCAGTCCCTCAGGCTTGACTTCGCGTGCCCCACCGCCCTTTGGGTTTAGCCTCGAACCTTCTTGAGCTTGCTGTGGCACAGGTCCTCTCAAGCTCCAACCCATCCGACATCCCTCTCCTCAGGCTCTGCCTTCCCTTTGGCTCTGGAAAAGACCCCAGTTCCCTGTGCCTGGCCCCAGTCTTCACAACCCCCAGTTCTTCCATTCCACAACCTCCCTGGCTGCAAGTTTGTTCAGATTGACCACTACTTACTCCTTGAAAAGGAATTATTTTCAGTCATTGCCTTTTTGACCTCCCCCCTTCCAATAGCAGTAAATTTGGTGCACCTTTTGAGTATGTGAGGAGTGGTTTATATATCTTTAAACTTATATGTGTGTGTGTGTGTATATATATATATTATCTTTAGTTTGGTCAGAAAGAGACAAGGAGAGAGAAGGAAAGAAAGAAAGCAAGCTTACAGGTCCTGTACTTGAACAGTGACAGTGGTTGGCCATGTGAGAGTCCAACACGCTTAACCATCATGCCACCTGCCAATATGTGTGTGTGTGTGTGTGTGTGTGTAAAGTTTTTTTGTAAGATTTTTGCTATAGGGTACATGCATTTCTGGGAGAGAGACAAACAGAAAGGAGAAATCACCCCTCTCAGGAGGGATAGCCACACCTCAATCCCTTCTCCTCTAGTCTCCTCAGTATTTTGAGCACACATCCACAGGCACCCGGCCTGTTTTAAGCCACTGGAACCAGGATTTCAACTGCGACTGACTACATGGGAGTCCAGTGACATAACCATTATACTATCTTCTGGGTCCTCTTTAAATATTTTAGATAATTTTTTAAGAGGTTTTGCCTTAGGATGTGTGAGCTCCCTGGAGAAAGGGAGAGAAAGTGAGAAATTACCCACCAGGGGAGATTGCCACTCCACAATCTCATTTCCATTCTCCTCCTAGGATCTTGGACATGCAAGCACACATGCCACTTGTGATTTTCAAGCCACCAAGACCAAACTGCAGTCGGTCATGTGGGAGTCCTGCTGGCCCCAATGTCTTTTTTTTGTTGTTGTTGTTAAGAATTATCTTATTTGACTTTATTTATTTATTTTACTTTGACCTGAGAGGGACAGAGAGAGCGAAAGTAAGCCCCCAGGTCTGGGACTTGAACTGTGGTTGCCCATGTGGGAGTCCAGTACCTTAATCACCATGCCCCACCTGCTGGCCCCCCATATATATATATTTTTTTACAAACAGTATTTTAGGGACCTTTGAGTTTGGATCTCTCTCTCTTTTTAGGCTTTTGCTGTAAGGTGCATTCACTTGCCAGAGAGAGCAAGAGATACCAGAGAAAGTCAGAAATCACCAGCTGGAGGGGTATAGACGGCTACACTGCAATCCTTTCTCCTCTGGAGATTTTGGGCATGTACACACATGTGCTCAGTGTGATTTTCAAGCTGCCTAGTCTGAGACTTGAACCATGGTCAACTATATGAGAATCGAGCACCTTAATCACCACTTTATCTGTTGGCCCTTAACTCTCTTTTAACTGCCAGAGGACATATGGACTCACCAGAAAGAGAGAGAGGGAAAAAGCACCCCCTAATGTGGCATGGCACTGTTGTTACCTCTTCCATTTAGCCTTCCTGTAGGGCATGCTCAAACCAGGGCCTCAGATTCCAGTCACAACTGGCCTTGTAGACTCCTTTAACCGCTAGGAGACAGGGTAGTCCTGGCATCTTGACCTCTAAACCAGCTTTTTTCATCACCTCATGCCTGTGTTATGTTGCCATGCATAGGTGTCAGGAAAACGTAAATGGGAGATTGAGATGTTTATTCTATATATCTATATCAATATATGTATTTACTATAAGGCATGTGCACTAGCTGGAGAGAAAGTGAGAAATCAGCCTCCCCTGGGCGGATGGCCAGGGTGCAGTCCCGTCTCCCTCTCCCCTCCGGGTTTTGGGCATGCACTCAAATGCACCCAGCGTGGTTTTCAAGTTTCTGGGTCCTGGATTCAAACTGCAAAGTTGACCATGTGGGATCCAGCTGCCTTAACCACCTCACCACCTGGCCCCATTAATAGTTTTTAAGTAAAAAAAACTTTGAAAAGTTTAGTTCCAAACAGGCTAAAAATGAATTAGGAAAAAATTTTCTAACGCTTTACAAGATTTTGTCTTTTAAAATGGTCTGTTTTGTATTCTTATAAGAAAATCAGACAAGACAGACAAATAAAATGAGTGACCAGAGGCAATTAATTTTGTTATTTTGGTGTCTATTGTTCCAGATCCATCTGTATAAGAGAAGTCTTCAGAGGGCCAGCAGGTGGTGTGGTGGTTAAGGTGCTAGATTCTCACATGGCAAACCTGAGTCCTGGACCTGGTGGCTTGCTTTCTCACTTTCCCTCTCTCCCTTAAATAAATAAATAAATAAATAATTCTTAAAAAAAGAGAGGTCTTCAAAAAGTTGTTGAAAATATGTATTATGAAAAAATTATGTATGTATTTCAAAATTGGTTGCACCAAAATAAACTCTTTTTATTTCATTTCTATCAACTTTTCTACAAAGTTCCCTCATATATGTCGTAACAATACTTGGAAAAACAAAACACAAAAAGTTAATTGTTTGTTAACCTGCTTTTTCTGCCATCTATATACCATGAATATCTATTTTATATGTAATTACATTATCGTATTAACTTGTTCAATAGCTTCCCTATTTTTTGTAATCTAGTTTTCAATTTTTAAAAAATGTAGATTTGTTATTTTTATGTTTATTTATATTGTCAGAGGGCATGTGTGCTTGCCAGAAAAATAGTATCCTCCAGTTGGGAGCGATCATGTCAAAATACTTTTTCTTCCATTCCTCTTTCCTGTCAAGAATTTAGACACAGACACACATGCACCCAGTGTATTTTTTAAGCCACTGGGGCCAGAATTGGAACTGTGGTTGTTCCTATGGGTTCCAGCTCCCTTTGCACAGTGCTTAATTGCTTATATGGGCCAGCCTGAGCAATTACTTTTAAATGGGCAAAACTATTAAAAGATATATATTTGTGGGGACCAGCAGGTGGCATGGTGGCTAAGGTGCTGCATACTTCTACATGGCAAACTATGGTTTGAGTCTTGGACCTGGTAGCTTGCTTTCTTACTTTCACTCTCACTCTCTCTGTCTTTCTCTGGTCAAATTTAAATAAATGAATAAATAAATAAAATTAAATAAATAATCCTTAAATATATATATGATATATACACACACATATATAATATATATAACATATGTATATATGTTATATATACATATGTATGTATATATATATATATGGGGACCAGCAGGTGGCATGGTAGTCAAAGCGCTGCACGTTCCCACATGGCTGACCATGGTTCGCGTCACGAACATGGTGGCTTGTTTTCTCATCTTCCCTCACTCTGTGTGTGTGTCTCTCTGGTCAAATTAAAATAAATGAATTTATTAAAAAAAAAGATATATATTTGTAAAACCACTTCATGGTATAACCAGATTATCAAAAAGTGAAAAATCAGTGCCTAAAAATACCATTTTGACCAATTTTTATCTCTGTTTCTCACCTGGAGCACCTGGCTCTATGCTGCCTTGTCCTATCCCACCCCATCCCATTTTCTACCTCTCAGCCTGGAGAGTCTCTTCAAACCCCTATCCAACTCACAGTTTCCAAATGTACAATTTTTCTCAAACCCTGTCCCCTTAGAATTCCTCTATTGGGCCAGCAGGTGGTATGGTGGTTAAGGTACTGCATCCCACATGGCCTACACTGAATCCCACATGGCCTACACTGCAGTTCAAGTCCCAGACCTGGCAGCTTGAAAAACGTGTAGTACGTGCCCAAAAATCCTAAGAGAATGGTGGAGAAGGGATTGTGGCATGGCCATTCCCCCTGGTGGCTTGTTTTCTCACTTTTCCTTTCTCTTTCTCTTGTCTGTCTCTCTCTAGTGAGCACACATGTCCTATGGCAAAATCTTAAAAAAAAAAAAAAAAAAAAAAGCCCCTATTATTCAGCCTAACCTTTGTCCAAACACTTCATTTTCTTTTTCCCTGTTCTGAAACAGGGAAAAAGGTCCCCCTTAGACCTGATCTTTATGGAGCAAGTGCCCCTTAGTTCAATCTCCCCTCAAAGGAATCCCTCTGAGCCCTGCCCTACAATGTTTACTCCTCATTTAAAATTCTGTCTTCCCTTGGAACCAGCTGGTGGTGAGGTGGTTAAGGCACTGGACACTCCCATGTAGCCGACCAAGGTTTGAGTCCTGGACCTAGTGACTTGCTTTCTCACTTTCCCTCTCTCTCTCTCTGGTCAAATGAACATAAATAAATTAATAAATAAATCTTAAAAAAAGAAAAAGACTCTGTCTTCCCATCTTATCCTGAATTTCCCTTTTTAAAAAATAATTATTTTATTTAACTTTTTATTTATTTGTTTGTTTTTTAATTTGACCAGAGAGGGACAGAGTGAGAGAGAGAGAAAGAGAGAGGGAAATTGAGAAAGCAAGCTGCCAGGTCCAGGACTAGAACCACTGTTGGCCATGTGGGAGTCAAGCGCCCCAACCACGACACGCCACCTGCTGGCCTTTATCCTGCATATTCTCATTAAGGTGACTTTCTTTTTTTTTTTTTTTTTTTTTTTTAATGATTTGGCGAGTGCGCTCGCCAGACAGACAGAGAGAGACATAGAGACAGAAAGCGAGAAATCACCCCCCAGGGGGGATGGTCACGCCGCAATCCCTTCTCCTCCATTCTCCTCTCGGGATCTTGGGCACGCACGCACACGCGCCCGGCGTGAGATTTAAGCCACCGGGTCCGAGACGCGAACCGCGGTCGACTACGTGGGAGTCCAGTGACATAGCCATTACGCTAACTGCTGGTTCCCTCATTAAGGTGACTTTCTGAGGACAGTTCTGAGTCCCTGCTGACACTTCTCTTGAACTTCTCTGGGCTCTTGTACATCCTTTTCAGGATGGCTGTTCCTCTCAACATCCAAGAACACCTACTGAAAATTATGATTGAACTGTTTGTTCTAAGAAACCTGAGGAAGCCTCAGCCATTTTTAACTTGTACCAACTTCCCCTTGCCCCTACAGCATAATGAATTCCAGTGAAGCAGCAGTGAAAAAATTTTTACCCAAGAGTCATCTATCTCGAGTGATTATCCGTGACAACCTCAGCGCACAACGAATCTATGAGATGGAGGTAAAGTAGCCCAATACTTTTGCCTTAGAGGTGTCAATGGCTTGACCCATATTCATTCCACTCCTCTCATGCCCTGGGGGTGGGTAGAGACCATAGATTATTGAGGTGAGGAGTAGAGCCCATAAAGGTGCTTTAAGACAGACCCTATTTTACTTACGTAGCAATTGATGCTCCAGGGTTACTGAGTTTCCTGAGGTGCCATATCCGTTCCTGGGCTGAGAGAGCCATGTCACTTAGATTTTGTAGCACTTTTTTTCTCAAAGCACATTCTTTCTCTATTTAGAGAATTCATGAATAAATGTTTTTCTTCTTTTAAGGTTTTTGCCATAGGGCGTGTGTGCCTGCCAGAGAGAGACAGAGACAGAGAGAGGGAAAGTGAGAAATCAATACCGCAATACCGCAATCTCTTCTCCATTCTCCTCCTGGGATTTTGGGCACGCACGTACACATGTCCAGTGTGATTTTCAAGTTGCCAGGAACAAGATTTTAACCACAGTTGACCATCTGGGAGTTCAGTGCCTTAACCACTGCATCACCTGGTGGCCCTCGTGAATGGATTCTTTCTTTTTCTTTCTTTCTTTCTTTTTTTTTTTTGCTATAGGCACATGCGTTCGCCAGACAGACAGAGAGAGACAGAGAGACAGAAAGCAAGAAGAAATCATCCCCCAGGGGCGATGGCCACGCCATAATCCCTTCTCCTCATTTTCCTCTCGGGATCTTGGGCACGCACGCACACACACCTGGTGTGAGTTTAAGCCACCAGGTCCAGGACTTGAATCGTGGTTGACTACATGGGAGTCCGGTGACATAGCCATTATGCTAACTGCTGGTCCTGGATTCTTGATATCTCCTATACAAAGTCTTGAGTTCCTAGAGCTTAAATCGGCATCAACACATTGTAGTCAGTTCCCCCTTTTGAGGACTGTTCACATTTTCTAAATGAGAACTGTGTTTCTCCTCTCACTTTTTGCTTATGGACAAGTAAAATTTGATGTGCTTACTCAAAAGCCTGAGGTCAGGCCACCCTGTGGTGTGGTGGTCAGGGTGGCCGAACCTCACATGGTTGATGCATAGTTCAAATTCTGGACCTGCTAGCTTGAAAAACACACTGGTAGGCTGGCAGATGGTTTGGTGGTTAAGGTGCTGGACTGCCACATGGCTGACCACAGTTACAGTCCTGGACCTGGCAGCTTGCTTTCTCACTTTCCTTCTATCTCTCTGGTGAGCATACCCCATAGCAAATTTTAAAATTAATTAATTAATTAATTAAATTTAATAAATAATTCTAAAAAGGGGGGGCTAGGGAAAAAAAAGTGAGTGGGAAATATACCTCTTACAAGTGGGGTGAGGAACTCTGAAATATTGTACTGGAAACTCCTGAATTGGCTCTCTATGTACCAGAGGATTACCAGTCCTCCAGAAATTTTAATTTTTTTGCTATAGAGCTATAGGATACATTCACTGGAGAGAGGCGGAGAGAGGGAAAGTGAGAAATCAACCCTCATGGGATGGCCACACCACAACCCCTTCTCCAATCTTCTCTCAGGATTTTGGGCATACACACACGTGTGTGCTCAGCATGATTTTCAAGCCACCAGGTCTAGGACTCAGACCTTGCAGTTGGCCATGTGGGATTTAGCACCTTAACCACCATGCCACCTGCTGGTCCCAGAAGTTTCTTTTTAAGCCTATATCGAGCCCTTAGACGTGTTAGGTTCTTGATATTCCATTATATATTTTTATCTTCATTTAGTAGTTCAGGAAACCAAGAAATGAAGCATCTTCACTAAGGTCATGCAGCAAGTCACCATGGAGTTACAAACCAAGGGCCGACTGCCTATTGTGTAGGACATTCCTGTCAAGGCCAGAGCCTGTTTTCTCCATGTTTGTAGACTCAGTGACTGGGTCCAAACCTGCCTTGTAGGAACTCAGTGGATTGAGGGCCTTGTAACAGTGTAGTATGTTTTATATCCCCACACAAAGTAATCACATTAGAGGAAAAAGGCAGCTTTGGCTACCCACTGATTTCAGGGAACTCTAGTGTCTTGGGACTCCCCTGAGCATGGTAACAGTGGATAATGGCTGATGTCCCTTCACCTATGGCTATAGTTTTTTGTTTTGTTTTTGTTTTGCTATAGGGTGTATATGTTTACCAGAGAGAAACAGATAGAGGAAGGGAAAGTGAAAAAATCACCCCCTGGAGGGATGGCCATGCCACAGTTTCGTCTCCATTTTCTCAGGATTTTGGGCATGCACACATACGTGTATGTTTTTGAAGCCACTGAGTCCAGGACTGGAACCATAGTCGGCCATGTGGGATCCAGCACCTTAACCACCACACCACACCTCCTGGCTAGTCCATAGTGTGGTTCTTAAGTAGCAGTTTTACCCTCAGGGGACACTGGCAATGTCTAGGGACAGTTTTTGATGATCACAAGTGAAAAATTCCAGTATTTTTGTATTTGTATTGCAGTGTTTTGATATGACCTGTCATGTTAAGTCAGGTGTGGAATTTTCCACCTGTGGCATCATGTAGGTGTTCAAAAAGTTTTGGATTTTGGACTTTGGATTCTGGATTAGGGATGTTCAAGCTGTATCCCCTCCTATAGCTAGCTCACTGAATAAAGAAGTGAATGAGTAAAGCATAGGATGTGGCGCGGTGGAGTAAACCTGTAGTCCAGCTGCTTGCAATCACTAGATTGAGGCCAGCCTGGGCGACGTAGCTGGTCCTGCTG